CCCTCCCTCCCACAACCGCCAAGTTCCGAGGGAGGCGAGCCTCGGTATTGTGCCCGGCTCAGCGAATGGTCGCCACCTGATTCCTCCCCTTCAGGTCAGTTGGTCAGGGTCCAACCTCGGGAATGTTCTCCCTCGGGGTGGCCATGAAAAGCGTCACATGACGCTGGCCCTGAGCCACCTTCGAGGGCCTGGGTGCTGCAGGTGTTCTGAGGAGGGGCATTTCCAGGAGGGGGCTGGGGCCCCCTGGACCCACCCAGCACTCACGCGGTTGTCATACACCTTCTTGAGCGCCTCGTAGCGGATGGAGCCCTGGAAGATGACCCCTTGGAACATGTTGGTTTTGTCACTGGCCACCAGCTCCACACAGACCATCTCTCCTTCCCCCACAGTCATGTCGCTGAACACCTGTGGGGCACAAGGTGGAGAGGGGGACATCAACTGTCGGCTGCCCACCACCCAGCACAGCTGGCCGGCTCCCATCCACCCCTCCCTCGCCCAGGGCTGCCCGGGAGGATGGCACGAAAAACTCCCATTTTGCAGGTGAGAACACTGAGCCACAGGTGAGATACCTGCGGCCACCCAGGTCTCCCACCCTCTGCCAGGCCCAGCACAGGAACGTAGACAGCCTAACTGTGGGCAGGGCGGTGTCCAGCAAGGGGCACTCGAGAATGTGACTCTGGGAGGGAAGACGGACTCCCCTAGGACACTGTCCCTCACCACACCTCCAGGCTAAGAAGTCAGGCAGTTTGGAGGACTGCTCGGCCTCCGGGTTCCAGGGTCTCCCTCTGGCTGTGGGGGCCCCACCCCACCCTGAGCTTCACCGCTTGTGTGCAGGTACAGAGTGACTCGGAGTTTTGAGGTGTGTGAGCCTGGAGGGGCACTTAGCCCCCTGAGCCTAAGGTGCTTCAAGATACCTTGGAATCTAGGAGACCTTGGGAGCCACGCCCCCTCCTTCAGAGGCTGCCAGGGCCCGACCACCTCTAAGGAGCGCAGGTGAGCTATCAGGGCCTCAGCGGAGGGGCCTGGCTGGGCCCACAAGGTGCAGGTCGGGAGTGGGACACAGCCCCAGTTTCCCAGCACCTGTTTCCAGGTGTCACCCTTTGCCTTGGGAACCAGTTTGCCCAACCTTAAAACAAAAGCGGCGGATAACTTCCGAAACCCCACTCCTCTGACACCCTGGGATCCCACGCCTGGTGCAGCGTGGGCCGTGCAGCGTGGGCGTGGAGGAGCTTATTTAGAGTTTAATGGGGACAGTAATGACCCCTCCTGCAAGGGTGGCACTTTTGCAGGCCCGTAAAATGCCGTCTCCCATTCACAAGCCCCTTTGATCTCCGACCCTGAGGGTAAGTAAGACAGGTGATCACGACTTTACAGGTGGGAGGCTCCAAGCTAAGGGGGCTCACTTGCTCCTTACCCAAGATCAGGAAGAGTGGGGGCCACGTTGGTGGGAGTCCAGACCCGTGCGCCCCCAGCGCTCCCCACCCCGGCACCCCTCTTCCCCCTCGCTTTTCTGCAAGGGCGTGGGGCCTGAGGGAGACCTGATGGGAGACACACTCACCTCCTCGAAGCTGTCGATCATGAAGAAGATGTTGGGGTAGCTGATCTTAGACTCCTCCCCTTTGCTGTCCATGGGGTGTTTACTGGGGGACGCAAACACTTGCTGAAAGAAAGGAGGTTTGAGGGTGGAGTGCGGCCCACCCTGCACCCAGGCCCAGTGCTGCTCAATTAAGTGGAACGTGCTCTCCAAGGCACAGGTCCCCATGGTCACACTGCTCAGAGCCAGGCCAAGCCAGGGGGGCGCCTCTGGGAGGAGCTGGTGGGATAACCCGGTTCTGTGCTCCTCGCACTGGACATGGGGCCCTGGGAGCCCATGGGTTTCTGGAGTCAGGCCCCCACCTTGGGGGCAGGGAAGTGGGGAGGGGGACTTGACTCCTCACAACCAACCCCGGGCATGGGGGGCCTGCTGCTTCTGGGCGAGGGGCAGCTGGCCGGCTGGGGGCTCACCTGGGACTTCTTCTTGTGGATGTGGATGTCCCCGCTGTCGGAGCGCGTGCACACGGCACAGGTCACCATGTAGTCCAGCTGCGGGAGCAGGGGTGCGTGGAGGGCCCG